TCTTCGATCGTACCCCTTTTGGGGGGTATACCTTTCTTCCCTGCAGGCCGGGCCCCGGCAAGCGGCGAGCCGGCCGCAGACCGTCGGCCTGGCCAGCGGCAGCGCAGATCGGCGGCAACCCGACCCCAAGAGGGACGGACAGGGGACCGACCACGACGACGACGACGTCGACGATGACGGCGACGGCGACGACGACGACGACGACGACGACGAGCGAAACCGAGCGAAACCGAGAGCGACAGAGAGAACGACAGCTGGCCCACGAAGGGCACGAAGTAGGCCACGAAGGGCGACAGCGGAAACACAAAGGGAATGCGTATGGGGCCACGAAGAGCGCGAACGAGCGGGGGCCACGAAGGGCAGATAATGCGGGCCCACAGGAGGCAACGACGGGGCCACTGAGGGTAGCAACTGGGCCACGTAGGACAGCGAGAAGGCCTCAAAGGGCGAAAGCGGGGCCACGAAGGGCATGCACATGGGGGCATGACGGGCGCGAACGAGAGGGGGCCACGAAAGGCATACGTATATTGGGCCGCGGAGGGCAAGAACGGGGCCACTGAGGGCAGCAAAGGGGCACGGGGCCACGAAGGGCAGCGAGGGGGCCACGAAGGGCGACAGCGGGGCCACGAGAGGCATGCATATGGGGCCACGAAGAGCACGAACGAGCGGGGGCCACGAAGGGCATACATAGATGGAACCACGAAGGGCAGCGAGGGGGCCACGAAGGGCTGCAACGGGGCCACGAAGGGTGCAACGGAGCCACGAAGGGCAGCGAGGGGGCCACGAAGGGGCGCAACGGGGCCACGGAGGGCAGCGAGGGGGCCACGAAGGGCTGCATCGGGGCCACGAAGGACAGCGAGGGGGCCACGAAGGGCTGCAACGGGGCCACGAAGGGCAGCGAGGGGGCCACGAGGGGCTGCAACGGGGCCACGAAGGGCAGCGAGGGGGCCACGAAGGGCTGCAACGGGTCCACGAAGGGCAGCGAGGGGGCCACGAAGAGCTGCAACGGGGCCACGAAGGGCAGCGAAATCCCGATTCCTAGATAATATGTGAGGGAGTCCTAGGCGTGAGCGCGACTCCTGGGTGCCTGAGTGTTGGGAGCGGGGCGCTTAAATTGCTGGAAAGTCCAACGCAACGGCGCTATTGCTTAGAACATTGCAAGCAAGTCTCCAGCGAGAGCGCGACTGCAGAGCGCCGAGAGAGCGATTCCTCAATACATTGTAAGGAAGTCCCGAGCGAGAGCGCGATTCCTGAATAAAATGCGAGGAAGTCTCGAGCGGGAGGGGGGGTCCTGGCAAAATTGTGAAGAAGTCTCAAGCAGGAGCCGTTGTTGTTGAACATTATTACTTCTAAAGAATAATTATTGTTGGGACCCCTGGTGCACGGCCCCCTCGCCGCGCCTAGGCCGCAGCCATGTTTTCATCATTTTCGCGAGGAAGTCTCCGGCAAAACGGGTTGGTCCGGATCCGGTTGTTTTGTTACGGGCGGTTTTCCCTTGCAAAAAATAAGGCAAAGTGGACATTTCTTGTTCTAACATAACCAAACTTCAAGAATCCCTTGCAAAAAATAAGGTAAAGTGGACATTCGCGCGCGCAAGACGAAATCCTTCCAAAACCTTAGTGTTCGTAAGCGATTTTAACATAAAAACATCAAAAAACCAATGGTTTTTCAAAAAAAAATGTCAAAATTCATCCCGCGCGCTCTTGCGGATTGTAGGAAACCCAACACTTTTTAAACATTTCTGTCAAACGGGCTTTTGCGAGCAACTTTTTCGAACTTCTGCAACAACGGTTGCGCACCTGCCAGGGCCATCATCCCTGTCAAATAATACCATGCGGGACACAACAAGTCACTGTACCCATGCGCCAGTGTAGTAGCCACGGTCGTCCGCAGGCCACGAAGTGAAGTGTCCGAACGTCATAGGGCGGGAAGCTGGGTGTGGGTGGTGGCGAAGAGTCGTTTGGAAATGTGGTAGAGCTTGAACCGGCCCCCCCACAAAGTGGGGGTATTGGCGGGCGTCGTACGAAAACCCTGGCACTGGTGAGAACGGAGTGTCCCCACGTGCTAGTAATTGTTGTTGTTGTTGTTGTTGTTGTAACCCGGGGGCCAGCAACGCAGTTCGAGGACGAAGACTTTCCCTGATAAAAAAACACGGTGCGAGCGCCGGGATGGGCACTCCAATTGAAAAAATACAATGTGCACCGGAGGGGGGATCAACAATAATTATTCTTCAGTAATGAGAGTTCAACAACAACAACAACAACAACAACAACAACAACAACGACAACAACAACAACGACGACAACGACGACAACGACGACAACGACGACAACGACAACGACAACGACAACAATGACAACAACTATCATATTACCCTCATGCGCGATGTTTCCACACGAAGCATGCGACCATCATGATAACCATCCCCATCACTGGGGATCATTGTTCTATAGCGGGGTCCGTTATTCCCATTCCCAGATCTCCCGCCCAATGAGATCTTGCAAACACCTCCTCCGAAGAATTTCAACGTATCCCGCCTCGAAAACGCATGTCCGCGCCTTGCTGCGCCGATGCGAGACCGCCAGTGGAGCCCCAGCCAAGGGTAAAGCACAAGGAAGTATCGAGCGACAGGATTGCCTTGATGGGGATGGGGGCTGTCGGCGGCAAGGCAAGGATCTGGCCCTGAATAGAAAGGGAGGAAGTCTCGAGCAGGGCCGCTGTTGCTGCTGGGAGCGACGCCAATGCTGAAGAGAGTAGGGCGCTAGTCCAGCGTAAAACAAAACGAAGTCTCGAGCGGGAACGCTGGTTTTGTTGGGACGGCGGTTGTCGGCGGCGAGGAGGAACACCGCCTTGAGTAAGAAGGGAGGAAATCTCGAGCGGGAGCCGTGGCTTTGTCGGGACGGGGGCTGTCGGCGGCGAGGAACAGCACCGTCCTGAGGAAAAAGGGAGGAAGCCTAGAGCGGGAGCGTTGTTCTTGCTGGGAGTGGCGCCAATTCAAAAAAGAGTATCCAGCGTAAAACGGGAGGAAGTCGCGGGCGGGAGCGCTGGTTTTGTCGGGAGGGCGGTTAGCCGGCGGCGAGGAGGAGCACCGCCTTGAGTAAAAAACGGAGGAAGTCTCGAGCGGGAGCGTTGTTGTTGCTGGGGGCGGCGCCGATGAGAGAAAGAGTAGCGCGCCAGTCCAAGATAAAACGGGAGGAAGTCTCGAGCGGTAGCGCTGGTTTTCTTGGGACGGCGGCTTTCGGCGGCGAGCAAGAGCACCAGCCCTGAGTAAAAAAGGAGGAAGTCTCGAGCGGGAGCGTTGTTGTTGTTGGGGGGTCGGTTTGGGCGCCCCCAAACCGCTCGAACGTGAGCCTGATTTTCAGTGAAAATGTAGCCGACGCCTAGGCGAGAGCGTCAAAGCGCCTGGTGGGGGTCCAACAATAACAACTGCTTAATAATCAGCACTCAACAACAGCTACAACAGCAGCAGCAGCAAAACTACTGAGGCAGAACTAAACCAGGATCAGAAAGAGGAGGCGAAGAGAAGGAGGAGGAGAGGAAGCAGCCCAGAGCGTCCTGAGCGCCCCCGCGTTGGGCCAAGGCGCCACAGCCAGACTAAAATCCAGCTCGGAAGGGCCCCAGGAGGAGCCCGAGAGACCCAGTAGAACTCGAAGGGTGTCGACGGTAGCTCATCCGAAGAAGCGCACAGGGGGAGCCGCAAACAGCGCCAAGAGAGCCCGAGGGGCTCTCGAGGGCCCCACGAGAGCTCCACGAGAGACTCGAGAGGGCCCCATGATGAACTCCAAGAGGGGCCGTGGTATTGTCGTTTTGGTGCCAAAAAACGACAGAAAACCACTCCCCTAAGTGACAACTCCATGGGCCCTGTTGGGAGCTCTGAAAGGGCCCTCTCTCGTGGCGCTCCTGGGACCCGACGCGACCACTGGGGAGCGTAGAAGACTCTGGGAAGGGCACTAAGAAGGGTCCAAAAAAGGCCCCCGCGAGGGCCCATGGAATTGCCATTTGGAAGGTGCGAAAACATGTCAAAACGATCACCCCAAGTGACAAATCCACGGGCACTGCTGGGAGGGCTGAAGGTTCCTCCCACGACCCACAGGGGCCACCTGGGAGCCGGCGGGGGCTCTTCAGAGGACTCCGAAGCGCGCAGGAGGAGCCACAGAGAGCGCCAGAGGAGCCCCAAGCCCCAAGAGGGCCCCCTGAGCCCTCACGCGCGGCTTTAGTGGGCCGCGGGGGGGCCAGATCCAACCACGCCAGACCATGCTGGGGTGTGGACCCCTGAGGGCCCGCACCAAAGGTCGCTCCAGCGAAGGGTCACCCTCACACGTGGCGGATCCCAGGGGCTTGACGGAGCTCTCCGGGGAGTCCTGAGGCCGTCTGGGGGAGGTCTTCGGGGCCATCCCGGGAGGGTTCTCGTGATCAGGCCCGCCCCCCTCGAAGCAGGCCGTTGCAGACCACGACTCTGAAAATTTCCCCCTGCAGGGAACGGAGAAGGGAGAACGTTTCGGCCCACGGCTGAAGCCTTCTCGGGCGCGCCAACGCCTCGGCTTGTCCAAGTCCCCGTTCCAGGGCCCTGAACCTGAGCTGTCGTGGGGCCGTCCGAAAGGCCGCCCTGAGGCCGACCGGGCCACCTTTTGGGCCACGCTGGGCGCGTCTGGGATCCTTCGGGAGGGGAGCTTCCCGGGCCGCTCCTCGAACTGTATAGGACCTCAGGGTCTGCGACGAGCTTCGCCTGTGGGGGGGGGGGGGGGGGAGGCGTCCTGCGCGGAGGTATCCTGGAAGGTGCCCGAGGCCCCCTTAGCGCCACCTCGGGGCGTCGTGGGGCGTCCCGGGGGGCATCTCGGGCAGCGTGGGCCCCCGCCTTCTGTCCTCGGGCCCCGTCCGGGGCCACCCTAAAGGTCGCGCGGGGCCGCCTGGGGCCGTCGAGGCCTCCCGGCACGGGCGAAGGGGGGCCTGGCCTCTGGAGCCCGATTGCGGACGCGCTGATCCCGCCGCCGCTGTGGCACAGATGACGTCGGGCTCCAAAATCGCCTTCCGCATCTCGTTGAGCAGCGCCAGGGCCCGCTGCCACTGCTCGCCCTTCTCGCACGCGCTGATGCCAGCGCTGTAGCTGACTAGGGCTGACCCGTGGACTCCGTCCAAGACATGCTTCTGGAATGGTTCTCGGAGGAACGACGGAGATTTGGCCGAAAACCCATCAGCACGGCAGAGGCCAGGGCCGCGGCAGCGAGACCGCGCCTTCGTGTCCGAGCTCTTGCAGCGCTCCAGCAGCTTGGCCCAGGCGCACGGTTCGTTCGCCCCCCTCCTATTGGGGGCAGTTTTGAAGTCTCTGGGGGATGTGTGCAAAAGTCGAGACCCATACGAGACGCCTCAGGAGCGCCCAGGGAAGGGCTCGGGAGGCCATCGGGGAAAGCCACCGGAAGCGCAGGGAACTCTCGCAAGGATCTCAAGAGAGTGCCCAAGAGAGCTTCAAGAGAGTGCGACATTCAATAAGATCTTAACAGCGAACGCTATTGGGTCGGACGTGCTCTGGAACGTTGGGGAAGCCTTTTTGTTGGAGTTCGATTGAAGACGAAGCTCTCTCAGGCATGTCAGGAGCGCCGGGCCACCTCTCTTGGAGGCAGTATTGAAGCCTCTGTGGGCCTCTTGGGGGGTCCAGGGCCTCTCAGGTCCTCTTGCGGGCATCTTCGGGACCTTTTGGGACCCTTTTGGGCCGTCTGGGCTCCTCTTGGCCCGTCTTGGGGCCACGCTCAGAGCTCCGCACGTCATCTGGACCCTCATGAGGCTCTCTTCTGGGCCTTCTCGGGCTTCCTCCTCCTCCTTCTCCTCCTCCTGCTCCTCCGCCTCCGCCTCCGCCTCCGCCTCCTCCTCCTCCTCCTCCTCCTCCTCCTCCTCCTCCTCCTCCTCCTCCTCCTCCTCCTCCTCCTCCTCCTCCTCCTCCGCCGCCTTCTTGCCTCGATCCTGCATGCCCTGGATCTTGGATCTTCAATCGTAGGCCCTCGGAGCATCGAAAACTGCTGCTGGGGCCTAGCCACTCTGTCCAGAAATACTACTGATGGCGGACGCTTCCTTCTCCTTGGGAACTTTTGGGGGGCCTCTCGGGGTTTCTTTTCGGCCTCCTGGGGGCCTTTTGGGCACCCTTGGCCCGTCTTGCAGCCTCCTGGGGGCCTGTTGGGGCCTATTGGGGACCTCTTGGGCCGTCTTGGGTGCCCCTTGGGCCGTCTTGGGGCCGTCTGAGGCCGTCTTGGACGCCCCTGGGGCCGATGGGGCCGTTTTTGGGCCTTCTTGGGCAGTCTTTGGCCGCTCGTGGGGCTGCCTTGGGTGACTCTTGGGCCGTCGTGGGCGCCTCAGGAGCGGTCCTGAGGCCATCTTGGGCTGGCCGTCCGAGGGCAGTCTTGGGCCGTCTTGGGGCCGTCTTGGGGCCCTCATGGGGCGCTCCTGGCACGTCCTGGGGCGATCTTGGGGGCGTGAATTGTCCTCTTGGACGCTTTGGAAACGAAAAGCACGGGAACTGCGAAAATATACGTTTTCCCTAGGGATTGGGACGATTTCTGCCTGTTCGGGCTCTCTCGGAGCTCGTCCTGGGAGCCCACCTGGAGCGTCCTGGGAGGCCTCGTGGGCCGTCGGGAGGGCATCTTGGGGGGCCTTGGAGCGCCCCTTGGACCTTCTCGGAGGCCCTCTTGGGCCGTCTTAGGCCGTCTTGGGGCCCTCGTGACGGCCTCCAAGGGGCGTCTCGGAGCGCTCTTGGGCCATCTTGGAGCGTCTCGGCGCGCCTCGGAGCGCGCGGGGCCCCGCCGGAGGGCTCTTACTGATAGTTCGGTGTTTGTTCCTTCCCGCGCGCGCTTCTGCCAGCCATGTCGGAGAGAGTGCTGCTGGTGCGAATCGCTGGCAAATCCACACTGCCGGCAAGGCGAAGCCAGCAGCCAGGGCGAAGCTCGCTCTTGTGGGCCATGGAGGGCGTCACGAGGGAAGGGCCTGGTCCAGAGTTGTGCGGGAAGTTCCTAGGAAGAGCTGGATGAAGGGCTTCCGACGGTCCGAGACGGCCCCAAGGCCCCCAAAGATCGCCCCAAGATCGCCCGTGAGGCCTCCAAGACGGCCCCAAAACACCCCAAGAGGCCCACAAGACGGCCCCAAGAGGCCCGCAAGACGGCCCAAGAGGCCTCCAAGACGACCAAGATGGCCTCCAAGACGGCCCTGGAGCACCCCAAAAGGACCCCAAGTCGGCACAGAGAGGCCTCTGCGGGTGGGCCCCAGACCAGCCAGCGGCTACCAGAGTGGCCCCCAGCCCAGATGATGGCCGCACTGGCTCCGAAGGGGGTCCAGGGCTTGGTGCCACCACCAGTGATCCTCTTCTCTGTGACACGCTTCGACTGGAATTGTAGTATGCAAATCACGTTGGGTTTCAAAATCGCCTCCTGCATTGCTTTGAACAGCGCCAGAGCCCGCTGCCACTGCCCGCCCTTCTCGCACACGCTGATCGCAGCACTGTAGCTGACGAGATTAGACTCCAAATGTGCCACATTCATCTCGCTGAGCAGCGCCAACGCTCGCCGCCACTGCAGGCCCTTCTCGCACGCGCTGATCCCAGCGCTGCAGCTGATGGCAGTGGGCTCCAACTTCCCCTCCAACATCTCGTTGAGCAGCGCAAGAGCCCGCTGCCACTGCTCGCCCTTTTCGCAGGCGCTGATCCCAGCACTGTAGCTGATGACGTCGGGCTGCAGCCTCGCCACCCTCATCTTTCTGAGCAGTGCCAAAGCTCGCTGCCACTGCTCGCCCTTCTCGCACGCGCTGATCCCAGCGTTGCAGCTGATGGCGGTGGGCTCCAGCGTCGACTCCCATATCTCGTTGAGCAGCGCTAGAGCCCGTTGCCACTGCCCGCCCGTACCACACGCGCTGATCCCAGCGTTGTAGCAGATGCCGTCGAGCTCCAGTTTCGCCACCCTCATCTCGCTGAGCAGCGCCAAAGCACGTTGCCACTGATCGCCCCTGTGGCACGCGCTGATCCCAACGCTGCAGCTGACTAATGCAGACCTGTGGGTTAAATTCCAGACGGGCCAGAGAGTGCGCTTACATTGCACATGTAGTGACAGCAGGTGGTCTCATGAACTCCAGGACTCTGCACCGATCGTGTTGGATTCATACACCGGGGATGGCTGCACAGACTGCGGAGACGCCGCATACATAGGGACTCTGGGGCGCTCTCGGGGCCTGCGTGAGGCCCTTTTGAGCTCTTTTGTGGCGCTTGCCAGGCGCCAATGGGGCTTCTGGGTGGCAATTTCAATGGCTTTGGGACTGCCTGGGGCACACTTGGGACCATGTTGAGGCGGCTTGGGGCTACCATGGAGCGTCTTCGGGGCCCGCTTGGAGGCCAGGCAAGGCAATCTTGGGCCACATTGGGAGCGTCTGAGGCCATTGGAGCGCCTTGAAGGCCTTTCTGGCGCTGCCGAAAAGCCTTTGCGAAGTTGGATAACGTACCTATGTGCATATAATGTACACATATATATATATATATATATATATATATATACATACATACATACATACATACACACATGCATGCATGCATGCATGCATGCATGCATACATACATACATACATACATACATACATACATACATACATACATACATACATACATACATACATACATACATACATACATACATACATACATACATACATATATATATATACATACATATATACATATATATATATATATATATATCAGAGTGAGGGGGCCGAACGGTCACTCATTGTCCCTGGGTGCGTGGCTGAAGTGCGGATCCGTGGTGAGGATTCTGCTTATTGTTGTTGTTGTCGTCGTCCCCCCCGCGACCCAGCCCGCGACCCACCCGCGACCCACCTCGCGACCCAGCTCGGGACCACCTCGCGACCCAGCTCGCGACCCAGCTCGCGACCCATCCCGCAACCCGCTCGCGACCCATCCCACCCGCGACCCACCCGCGACCCACCCGCGACCCACCCGCGACCCCGCGACCCGACCCCTGCGACCCAACCCGCGACCCACCTACATTGTTTTAACAAAAAAGTCGGCGCCAGCGGCGGGCTCGTTGTATAGCTTGAAAAATTTCGCGCCGCCCCCTCACTCTTATCCGCAATTGTGGGGTGCTACGCTAGATATACCTATACTACAACAACAACAACAACAACAAAATCAACAACAACAACAACAACAACAACAACAACAACAACAACAACAACAACAACAACAATTACTAGCACGTGGGGACACTCCGTTCTCACCAGTGCCAGGGTTTTCATAGGAGGCGGGCAATACCCCCACTTTGTGGGGGGGCCGGTTCAAGCTCTACCAAATTTCCAAACGACTCTTCGCCACCACCCACACCCAGCTTCCCGCCCTATGACGTTCGGACACTTCACTTCGTGGCATGCGGACGACCGTGGCTACTATTCAGGGCCCCGCGGCCGACGACGACGGCGTGCGCGCGCGAAGAAAAAACGAATGTGTCCCGCATGGTATTATTTGACAGGGATGATGGCCCTGGCAGGTGCGCAACCGTTGTTGCAGAAGTTCGAAAAAGTTGCTCGCAAAAGCCCGTTTGACAGAAATGTTTAAAAAGTGTTGGGTTTCCTACGAATCCGCAAGAGCGCGCGGGATGAAATTTTGACAATTTTTTTTGAAAAACCATTGGTTTTTTGATGTTTTTATGTTAAAATCGCTACGAAAACTAAGGTTTTGGAAGGATTTCGTCTTGCGCGCGCGAATGTCCACTTTACCTTATTTTTTGCAAGGGATTCTTGAAGTTTGGTTATGTTAGAACAAGAAATGTCCACTTTAGCTTATTTTTTGCAAGGGAAAACCGATCGTAACAACACAACCGGATCTGGATGACATCGTTTTACCTGAGACTTCCTCACGAAAATGATGAAAATGAGGCTGCGGCCTAGGCGCGGCGGGGGGGCCATGCACCAGGGGTCCCAACAATAATTATTCTTTAGAAGTAATAATGTTCAACAACAACAACAACAACAACAACAACAACAACAACAACAACAACAACAACTACTACTACTACTACTACTACTACAACAACAACAACAACAACAAAACAACAAAAACAACAAGGACAACAACAACAACAACAACAACAACAACAACAACAACAACAACAACAACAACAACAGCAGCAGCAGCAGCAGCAGCAGCAGCAGCAACAGCAACAACCTATTTTGAGCTTCGTGGAGCATCTCCGCGGCCTCGTGAGGCCTTGTGGAGCGCTCTGCAGGCGCTCTGGCGCCATCTCGGAGTGCACTGGGGGCCTGCGTGAGGCCAATTTGGGATATCTTAGGGCCTTAGGGCCCTCGTGGGCCCTCTCGGGGCTACCTGAGCGTCGCTTAGGGCTTCTGGGCGGTTACTCAAGACGTATGTGTCTAGGAAAGGTGTGGGGTCCTCTTAGCACGTCTAATGAGCCTCCTCGTCGCTGTGCGGGGCCTGTAGAGCCCATCTGGAAACGCTCCTGTGAGGGAGGAAGGAGAGCGTCAGGAATGTTGAGGCAATGGATTCCCATCCGCGGCTCCGCATGGGGCCATGTTGAGCTCTTTGCTGGCCATCTGACTGCCCCTCGGACGTCTGGGCGTCATCTTGGGAGCAGCCCGCTGGAGCCCCATTGCGCAATGTAGAGGATATGACGGTGGACTCCAGCTTCGCCTCCCACATCTCCCTGACCAGCGCAAGAGCCTGCTGCCACTGCTCGCCCTTCTCGCACGCGCTGATCCCAGCGCTGTAGCTGACTAGTGTAAACCCGTGCGGTACATTCGGAAGCGATTCGGCAGGGGATCAGAAAAGCAGAGTGAAGACAAGGCTTCACCTAAGATTTTGGTTCGACCCGGCAACCCAGAACTGGAGACGGTGGCGACGACGGCGAGGACGGCGGCGACGACGGCGAGGAGGCGCCCGGTTCGAGCCAAGATCCCAGGCGGCATGGTGGAGTGATCGTGCGTTGCTGAGGACTTCAAGCATCCTGGAGGGGCTCAGCAAAGCGGAGTGAAGCCAAGGCTCCACCCAAAATTTTGGCTCGAATGGGCCACCCTGGAGCCGACGATGACGTCGACAACGACCACGGCCACGACGGCGACGACGGCGACGACGACGGCGGCGGCGGCGGCAGCGGCGGCGGCGGCGAGGTGCCCGATTTGCCATCTGCGGTGCGGCAGGCCGCCTCCTACAGACGTCACGGGGTCCTCTTGGGCCATGTTGGGGCCCTCGCGGGGTCGGCCTGCGGGCCTGTTGGGCTATCGTAGGCCATCTTCGAGGCCGCAAGGGCCGTCTCAGGCCGCTGGAAGCGCGAGACGGCGAGAACACTGCAGTCCTTCCAAAACCCGTAGAGTCTATGCGTTTGGCCTCTGGGGGCCCTCCTGGAGGGCCTCTCGGAGTCATCTTGGATCGACTTGGAGATATCTGGGGCCGTCTTGGGACAACCTTGGGCCATGCCTGGGCCAGCTTGGGTAGTGCTGGAGACGCCTTGGGCGAACTTGGAGGTCTCTCTTCACCCACGGAGCCGTCTTGGAGGCCGTCTTAGGCCGCATCGGAGGCCGTGCAAAGCGCGGCAGGCCGCGCCGCAGGGTTCCGTTCCGCGTCGGGCGCCCAAAAGGGGCCCGGCAACCTGTCACGAAGAGAGGCCGTGTTCGCGACAGTCGGGCACAAGGGTGGGGCAGGGGCGAAGGTGGGGTTGGGAGGGAAGTCGCTCCGAATGGCCCCTAAAAAGCAGGAAACGCGTCAAGCGGGAGCATTGAGCAGGGCCCGTTCCCCAGCCCCGCCTTGGGATAACCTTCCCTCTCGAACCCCCGAGACAGGTTGTTGGGCCGCTTTTCGTCCGCTCCAGAGGCGTCGCAGAGGCCGCCAGGGCTGTCTTAAAACAATATGAAGCCGCTCGGGGCCATTATTGACCGTGTTGGTGGCGTCTGGGGCGAGCTTGGGGGTCTCCCAGACCCTCTGGGGCCGTCTTGGAGGCCATCTTGGGCCGGCTTGGGCAATTTGGGGGCTCGCTTGGGGGCCACTTGGATATCGTGGGCCATCTTGGAAGCCTCAGGGGCCGTTTCGGGCGCCGGAGGCACGATAAAAGGCGAGAAAGCTGGAATCCTTTGAGAACCCCGGGAGAATCTACAGTTTGGGCCTCCTCAGGCCTTCCGGGAAAGGCTCTTGAAGCCCTCGTGGGCGGACTCGGAGGCCTCCGGGGGTCTTGAGGCAATCTCAGGCCGTCTCGGGGCCATCTTGTTGGAGGCGTCTGGGGCGAACACTCGAGGTCCCCTGGACCCTCTGGGGCGGTCTTGGGGGCCACTTAGGGCCGCCGTCTCCGAGGCCGTCCGCGGGGCGGCAGGGTGCGTCTGGGAGACGTCACGGGGGCCTCTTGGACCATTTGGGGGGCCCCGCTTGAACTTATTCCGATGCTTTACGGATAGTCGGCGATCTGGAAACACAGATGCATTCCGCGCGCGCTGCTCCAGGCATTGTAATATAGACTAGTGTTGGAGGCTTGGAAATGGGTACCAACAACAAAATAGGGGCTTGCCTCCACCAGGGGAAGATGATCCTATATTTCGGCGCGGTGGTAATATTTCGGCCACCAAGGAAGCCCAGATATTACCACCATCACCGAGAACGGGACCCATCATTCCTCGGTGCAGGCACACCGCCGATATTGGTGTTGGTGTCAATATCTAGGCCTCCGAAGTTACGAACCAATGGGCCCACATTCGAGAAGTCTGGAGAGGTCTGGAGAAACTGGAGGAACCAGAGAAGCTAGAGAAGTCAGAGAGGCCATAGGAACTGGAGAAGCAAGAGAAGCCCGCGGAGGCCTGAGACTGGAGCTAGGAGCAGCCGCTGAACAAGTACATGCGGAGTCCCATGAGGGAGCTGCTGCTTAGCATAGAGTGATCCTGGGGCTGCTGAGTGCTGCTGGTTGCTGCGGCGTTATGATGATCGATATGATTGCCTGCGCTGGTCGCTATTGCTGGCTGTGGGGAATTGCTGATGCTTGCGGCTGCTTGCTCTTGCTGTGTTCATGACCGATGCTGCTGGTTTCCTGCAAGTGGGTCCAGTGGCCGAACCAGCTGTGGCAGCGGCGGGCAGGATAACATTATCGAGTGGACGACTTCAGATACGAATTTGTTGGCAATTAGAAGAGACGATGCCCTTCAGGGTTGGAATCGCCCTCTGACTGCGGTGAGCACAACAATATCTGCACGACATGACCCGCCAACAAGCGGAGGCCTGAGGGTGGAGCTGCGGGCAGCCATGGAGCACGTACATGTGAAGACGCACGCGTGGGCCCCGCTCCACAGCGAAGTGGAGGGAAGCGTGTGCTAGGCGTGGGGCTACAAGCCTCTGAAATTGGAGGAGGCACTCTCGGGAAAACGGTCTTGGGCTCTCCTGCGGCCCTGGGACAAGGGGTCCCCCTGGGCTACGCTCGGAGCGTTCTGGAGCTCTCTGGAGGTTCTGCTTGGCCGTCTCCGAAAATGGTTTTCGGAACTCTGGGGGCGTGGAGGGGCTATTTGAGAGAGGGGGCCGTCCGATGGGTCTTGCGGGCCTTCTCGGAGCCCTCTTGGGGCCGCGTTGGAGGCAGGCCAGGGCCACCTGGGGCTTCTCTGAAGGCGCCCTGGCCGCTCTTGAGGGCTACAGTAGGAGCTCAGCCACAAGAAACCTTCCACAAGAAACCCAAGCATGAGACGCCAGGACGTCCATTGATTCTTGGTGTGGGGAACGTCACTCTTTCCAGAGCAAACCCATCGAAACCTAAGAAACCCAGGGCACCCTGGAGGCAGGCAGGGTGTTTCTTGGTATAGGTGTCCACTGTCTTGCGAGGCTCTTGGGCTCAGTTGAAGCACCCTGGTCAGTGCTTGAGGCCTGAAGCCGCACGGTGGGGAGTTCTACAAGTGGCGGTGCACACACACACACACACACACACAGACACACAGACACCCACACACACACCCACACACACACACACACACACACACACACACACAGACACACATACACACAGGGAAATCTGCCACGTCTGAAGCTATCTGGGCGGCTCCTGGAGCGATGGGGGCGCCGACCCGGGAGCGTCCTGGGCAAGCCTTGGCGCTGGGCGCCTTCTCGAAGCTCCTCTCGCTCGCCCTGGTGCCCAGCGAGAGCGGCGTCAGGCGGTCAGGCGGTCCAAGCTCGGCGCCTGGGAGTTTGCCAGAGCCGCCTGCCGTCCACCATTGTGGGCTGTTCGCACGCGCAGCTCGGGGAAGTGCGGTGCGGATAGCATTGGGCTCCAGTGTCGCCTCCCACATCTGGCTCAGCAGCGCCACGGCCCGTGGCCATTGCCCGCCCTTCCCACACGCGCTGATCCCGGCGTTATAGCTGACTAGGGCAGACCTGTGGACTCCGTCCACGACATCAGCTCGACGTGGCGAGGGGTCTCTGGGCAAGCGCGGCGTGCCTGTCGCCTCTCGTCCGCTCCCCCGCTCCTGGAGGGAATTCTGAAGCCACTGAAGGCTTCGTGGGGGCCGTTTCGGAGCCTCTTCGGCCTTCTTTTGGGCCTCCCGGGGGGGCTCTTAGGGCCCTCTCGGGCCGTCTTGGGTGCCTCTTGGGCCGTCTTGGGGCCGTCTGAGGCCCGCCTCGGCGCCTCTTGGGCTGTCTTGGGCCGTCTTGGGCCGCTCCTGGGGCCGTCTTGGGTGCCTCTTGGGCCGTCTTGGGCGCCTCCTGGGCCGTCCTGGGGCCGTCCTGGGGCGTCTTGGGACCGTCTTGGGGCCCTCCTGGCCCGTCTTGGGGCTCTCTTGGGGTCCTCTTCGGCCGTCTTGGAGCGGTCGGGGGGACTTCTTGGGCCGTCTTGGAGCGTCGGGAAGCCGAAGAGGCGAGGAGGCCGAAAACATCGAAAAACACAATAGAAATCGACGATTTCTGTCGCTCGGGGCCCTCTTGGGAGGCCTCTTGGGAGGCCTCTTCGGGCGTCTTGGACGCCTCTTGGGCCGTCTGGGGCGAATCTCGGGCGTCTTGGGCCCATCTGTAAGCGTGCCGGGGCTCTCCGGGGCCGTCTTGGGGGCTTCTGGGGGCCCTCTCGACATGTCCTGGAGCCTGCCTGGGCGGCCCGGGGCGGCCCGGGGCCAGCCCGGGGCGGTTTTGGTGCATTGGGGCCTGCGCCATTCTGGCACGCACTGGGCCCTGCAATGTAGTAGAGACTAGGGTGGACCCGTGGACTACGTCCACGAAATCTGCACGAACTGGCACGCGATGGCTGACACAATGGCGTGGGGCTCGAACTTCGCATTCCGAGCATGCTACCGCGTGCTGCTGCTTGCTGCCGCTGCTGCGTGACGCGTGCTGTTGGCAATGCTTACCGCTGCTTCGTGCTGTAGCTGCAGAGTGCTGCTGATGGCCAGCTCTGCTGTGTGCGTGCTGCTGCCTGCTGCATGCTGATGATGCTTGCTGTTGCTGCACGCTCCCGCCGCTAATGCCCGCTTCGCGCTGCTGCTGTTCGCAGCTGCTGCTCGATGCTGCAGGGGGATGCTTCTCGCTACTTCACCGTTCTGGCGCAACCTACTGCCGTAAGAGGACTGAAGAGCGAGAAGTCAGGATCGAGAACATCGATGAGATTGAGGGGAAGAAACGTTGGGCGATCAGCGAAAAACGATGAGCGAGAAGGGAGGAGCGACGGCCGGGGGGAGATGGGCGAGGAGCGTCGAGGTTCGAGAAGGTTTTGTCGTCCTTGTAAACCTCTGGGGGCTGCTTTCTGGCTCTGGGGCAGTCAAAAACCGATCTGGGGTGAGAGACCAATCTGGAGAGACCACCCCCCACGGTCTGGGGTCCTATCCCTCAGGGATTCCGTCGATTTTTAAAGAGCGCTGTGTCAGCTTGCCTGCTTGTATTGGCTCGTTGCTTGCTTGCTGCCTGGCTTGATTGGTGCTTGCTGTTTGCCTGCTTGCTGGCTTTCTGGCTTGATGCTTGCTGCTATTTGCTGCTACTTGCTTCCGAAAGCTGTCATGGGGGTCTGCTGGGCAGAATCTAGACCTTCTCGTGTCTTCTTTGAGGCTTCTTGGGCTGCCTTGGAGCCCAGCTGAGCCTTCGGGTGTCAAAGGGGCTGCGGGAGAGAGAGGACGCCTTGGGCCGCCCAGTGACGATCGCGAGCCGCCTTGGGGCAGTATTAGGGCCAAGGCTGGAAATTAAGAAGCACATGTGCGCCTTTCTTTTGACGATGCTCCGTCGTGGCTGCGGCCGTCTGTCGATGATGTCGGGGAGGTCGGAGCATGTGCGCGGGCTGCGTAGGCTCGGAAGAACAAAACAGGCACTGCGGAGCCTGACCCCGGTGGCTGGCGGTTCCAGAGCACTCTCAGGTAGAACTGACCCGTCGCCCTATCAGACCGGAGCCGCTCGAACGAAGAGAGCAAAATAGCGGCGCCTGGGTGCCGAATTTCTGGGTAGCTGCCGCGATCCCGCCGCTGCTGGGGCGCAGTCAAGACAAATGTTTCTCCTCCGTCCGTCTGGCGGTGGCTTGAGCGGTGTCCAGCGGTGCCCCGTGGTGTCCCGTGGTGTCCCGTGGTGTCCGCCGTTGCTAGGGCGAAGTCAAGACAAATGTTTCTCCTCCGTCCGTCTGGCGGTGGCTTGAGCGGTGTCCCACGGTGTCCCGTGGTGTCCCGTGGTGTCCCGTGGTGTCCCGTGGTGCCCGCCGTTGCTAGGGCGAAGTCAACACAAATGATTATCCCCTGCCCGCCCGTCCGTCCGTCCGGCGGTGGCTCGCGGTGTCCCGCGGTGTCCCGTGGTGTCCCGTGGTACCCCGTGGTGTCATGTGGTGTCCCGTTGAGTGAGATCGATAGTGAGATCGATAGTGAGATCGACACTGAGATCGATACTGAGATCGATGTAATGCCCCGAGGTGTCGCGTGGTGCCCCAAAAAAGGAGATCGATAGCGAGATCGATAGCGAGATCGACAAGTGTCCCGTGGTGTCCCGTGGTGTCCCGTGGAATCCCGTGGTGTCCCGTTGAGTGAGATCGATAGTGAGATCGATAGTGAGATCGATAGTGAGATCGATACTGAGGTCGATGTGGTGCCCCGAGGTGTCGCGTGGTGTCCCAAAAAAGGATATCGATAGCGAGATCGATAGCGAGATCGACAGGTGTCCCGTGGTGTCCCGTGGAGTACCGTGGTGTCCTGTGGTGTCCCGTTGAGTGAGATCGATAGTGAGATCGATAGTGAGATCGATACTGAGATAGATGTGGTGCCACAGCGTCCCGTGGTGTCCCGTGGTATCCGAAAAAGTGAAATCGATAGTGAGATCAATAGTGAGATCGACAGGTGTCCCGTGGTGTCTCATGATGTCCCGTTGAGTGAGATCGACAGTGAGATCGATAAACAAATCGATAGTGAGATCGATGTGGTGTCCCGAGGTGTCCCGTGGTGTCCCGTGGTGTCCCGTGGTGTCCCGTGGTGTCCCATGGTGTCCCTTTGAGTGAGATCAATAGTGACATCGATAGTGAGACCGATGGTGAGATCGACAAAGGTCCCGCTGTGTCCCGTGGTGTCCTGTGGTGGCCCGTGGTGTCCCGTGATGTCCCGTTGAGTGAGATCGATAGTGAGATCGATAGTGAAGAAATCGACAAGTGTCCCGTGGTGTCCCGTGGTGTCCCGTGGCGTCCCGTTGAGTGAGATCGATAGTGAGATCGATTGAGTCAGATGTTGGTTCCCCCCCTCCCCCCTCACAACCTCCTTATCACCCGAAGGGTGGTCGTATAGGTACACACTTTTTTTTACCAGCGCAGACGGAGCCCAGTGGCGCGACACGACAGACGAGCGACGGACGACAGACGAACGAAAAAGAGGCGGCGCAGAAGAAGGGGGGGAGGGAGGGGAAGAGGGGGAGGGCAGGCAGGGGGCGCCCGCGCCGGCGCAGCCCCGCACTCACCCGAGGGCGCCGCGGCGGCACCGCCGCGGCTGCGGCCGGCGAGCAACCACGCCTACCTCCGCCTGGCAGCGGCGGAGATGCCGGCAGCCATCTGGCCCATCAGCTCGGCGAGGGCTGCGCCAGAGAGCTGGCGCAGCGCGACGTCCAGTCGGCGCTGCAATTGCCGCCGCTTCCCCCCCGTGGGGGCCCGCAGCAACGCCGCCAGCTCCTCCTCGGCCGGCCGTCCGCCCGCCCGGACCAGCGCGCTCACCAACGCCATGTGGTGAACACGAGCCGCCGCCTCCGCGGCCCCCGCACCGCCCGGCACGTCCTCCACCGGGCCTGGCCCGGGAGGGGGGGCGGGCGGCTCCGCAGCATCGGCCAGCCCCAGCGGGGAGCCGGCCGCCTCGACCTCCACCGGGCCTGGCCCGGGAGGGAGGGGCGCAACCAGGCCGAGGGGGCGCGCGAGGGCTGGCCCAGCCTCCGGCGCCTCCATCGGGCTGCGCGGCACCTCGACCAGATCGGCGGCTCTGGGAGGGCAGGTCGGCTCGACCTCTTCTGGCCGAGCCTGTGGGGGAGGCGTCGCGGGGGCAGGGGCCCACCCGCTCCACCGCTGCAGGCAGAGCCGCGCAAGCGCCACCTCGTACCCAGCCGCGGCCCTGGCCCCAGCAAGATGTTCCTCGGCTGGCGCCTTCGCAGCCGCCGCGCCCACGCCAGGGGGCGGTCCGACCAAGGCACCAAGCTCGGCCCCCTCGCGGAGGGCAGAGCAGAGCCGCGCCAGCGTCTCCTCGATGCTGGCCGTGACGCCGGCCTCATGCCCGGGAGGAGCCACCTCCACCAGAGCCGCATGCCCGGGAGGAGCCACCTCCACCGGAGCGACCTCGACCTCGACCGGGCAAGCGGGCCCAGGAGGGAGGGAGGGATCGACGGAACCGAAGGCGTCGTCGATGCTGGCCGTGACGCCGGCCGCATGCCCGGGAGGAGCCACCTCCACCAGAGCATCCTCGACCTCGACCGGGCCAGCGGGCCCAGGAGGGAGGGAAAGACCGACTGAGCCGGGGGCGTTGTCGGTGTTGGCCGTGACGTCGGCCTCCTGCCCGGGAGGAGCCACCTCCACCGGAGCAACCTCGACCTCGACCGGGCCGACGGGCCCAGGAGGGAGGGAGGGAACGACAGCAGAGCCGAGGGCGTTGTACTCGCCCTCGATGTCGAACTCGCCCTCGTCCATGGGGCAGGCCGCGCCGCCACCCTGCCACGGGCGAGGGCTGCCTTTGCAGCACTGGCGGCTCGGGGCCTGCGTCGGCCGCTGCCGAGGGGGCGTGGCCACTACGACCGCGCGGCGCGCTGCCGGCTGCGCCGCGTCATCCGCGTCGCCGTCGTCGACGTCGGCCCACCGCATACGGGGGCTGCCCGAGCCAAGCCACGACGTGCCAGGGCCACCCGACTCCGAGCCGGACCGGCTCGCATCCGCCGGCTCCTTCAGGGAGC